AACGTCCACTCATGCATCTTACTTGAGTCTACAAACTGGAGCTAATCGGGCACTAATGAATGAATTTAAATAGATTTTAACTATTCTAGTTTTCCTGTACAGCAATATCACTACTAAAATGACCAGAGCTGAGGGTTGAGGGTTCCAGATGTACTTCATTATTTTTCCTTTTTGCTCTGTTTTTTATTACTTACAATTGATCAAAAGGTTAATTGCAGTCAGTTTTGTTACTGGGAAAATTCCCATTTGTTTTCTTGAATCTCTTTTGTAGAGATACAAAAGATAGAGTGGTGTGTTTAGTATTGTTCTGATCAGTTTAATACCTTCCGCGTCTCCTATCAGTGGACGTGTATATGGCAGCCATTTTAGGAACCGTACACCTGGGACCCGAGCAAGGTCACCTCGTTCAACAGGCGACAACATTTGTCCCTGGAAAACTATCCTGGACATTCTGTACAATTTGTATGGATATGGCAGTGATTTCTGTAACAGGGAGATGGAAGAAGATGCTTGGTCGGTCCTCTTAATTCAAATTTGGGGCACTGCGCGGTCAAGCTAATGTGCCACCAGATAGGAGTGGTGTGTTTAGTATTTTTGATCAGTTTAATACCTTCCGCGTCTCCTATCAGTGGACGTGTACACGGCATTGATTTTTGTAACAGGGAGATGGAAGAAGAGGCTTGGTCGGTCCTCTTACTGCAAATTTGGGGCACTGCGCGGTCAAGCTAATGTGACACCAGATAGGAGTGGTGTGTTTAGTACTATTTTATCAGTTTAATACCTTCCGCGTCTCCTATCAGTGGACGTGTACACGGCATTGATTTTTGTAACAGGGAGATGGAAGAAGAGGCTTGGTCGGTCCTCTTACTGCAAATTTGGGGCACTGCGCGGTCAAGCTAATGTGACACCAGATAGGAGTGGTGTGTTTAGTACTATTTTTATCAGTTTAATACCTTCCGCGTCTCCTATCAGTGGTCCTGATACACACTGACACAGAGCAGAATAGGGAATGTTACCCCAACATCAGGGTCACTTAACTTGAATATGGTTGACACCTGTCCTAAGGTTCCCTGATACACACCGACACAGAGCAGAATAGGGACTGTTCCTCCTACATAGGGTCACTTGGCAGATATGGATTGACACCTGTCCTCAGAGCCCCTGATACACACTGACACAGATCAGAATAGGGAATGTTACACAAACATAGGGTCACTTGGCAGATATGGATTGACACCTGTCCTCAGAGCCCCTGATACACACTGACACAGAGCACAATAGGGAATGTTACCCCAACATAGGGTCACTTGGCAGATATGGATTGACACCTGTCCTCAGAGCCCCTGATACACACTGACACAGAGCAGAATAAGGAATGTTACCCCAACATAGGGTCACTTGGCAGATATGGATTGACACCTGTCCTCAGAGCGCCTGATACACACTGACACAGAGCAGAATAGGGAATGTTACCCCAACATAGGGTCACTTGGCAGATATGGATTGACACCTGTCCTCAGAGCCCCTAATAGACACT